ACACATCTGAAATCGATCATAAAATTTATTTCTATAAAAATTATTGTACCTTGTTTGTTTGATACATAGTTTGAACTTAGGCGTGTGGGAATTTGTTTATATATATATATATATATATATATATATATATATAAAACCTACAAAATATCGAATCATAGTGTTGATTCTTCAATGGACTGACTTTGAAAGAGTTGTCTATCCAAAAAATCACCTGGTGTTGCAAACAAGGCTATTGTGACGACAATACACTTCTTGGGTACAAGTATATGAATGAACTGACAAAAGATAACCGGGTACGCATGCCTGATGAGCGGCAAGAACCGCGAAGCTGGTCGTATTCTTACGGGGCAATTTTGTCTAGTCATTCACATACTACTTATTATGAAACAAATGGATGTATAATCAACCAATAAACATATATATATATATATATATATATATGGTGTGAACATTGGCGAAAAAGACAGTGAATGGGGAGTGGGAGAAAAAGGGAGTGAGAGAATAGGTGTCACATAGAGAGATATGGGTAATTGTTATTATGGCCATGGTAAAATCAGGGTCTGAACCAGATTATGTTGTTTGCACAACTCCTGCTTCATGATCCTAATTGCTATGGATTCCGCAGTTGTCAGGATCTTTCTACGTAATCCTTTGGCGTGGTTCTTAGGTTCAGTGAAGAAACTTGTAAATTATGTTTCTGGGTCAATCCTGTGTCCACTGCTGACCAAATGTGGCAGGATTGATCTGTTCAGGCTTCTCATTGTTCCTTTTCGAAGGGCGGCCGGACAGTGTTCAGATAGTCTCTTGGGCAAACGCCTCGTTGTATGTCCGATATAACGAGCACTACAAGTGCACGTGAACTGATATAGAACAAAAGATAGGGCCTGATGAGGCAACTTATCTTTAAGTTGTTGAACAATGAATGGCTTTAATCTGGATGAAAGTTTTAAATAGGTCGCGGGAAAACAGTTGGAAATGGCTTGACATAACTGATATTCAGGTTCAGGCCGTGCTGTTACCATGGCCATAATAACAATTATCCATATACCTATGTGTCACCTATCCTCTCCGTCCCGTTTCCCCACTCCCTATTCACTGTCTTTTTCGCAAAGATTCACACCTGTTTTATTCACTCTGGACTGACATA